AAACCCCTTACGCAGAAATTCTATACCTCTGTGTCACAGCACTGGAGAAATATTTGGGCATTCACCACGTTGCTTGCTGGTGAAACAGTACACAGATATACAGGTACACAGTTGCTACATTGCTACATCAAGATGCAGGGCTACATTCCCAACTTGAGCATTCACAGAGCTGATCCAGCTTACTCCAGTCTGGAGTCAGAGGGACAAGAGGATGCTTAGCTTTCATGGGATCGCGTGCAGGCTTTTTCCTCCACACATATTGCAACAGGCATCAAGAACAGAGTAAGCGCAGCTGCTGCCACCTCCGCCAGTTTATTCCATCAACCACTGTACCTGCAATCTCCCACCCCCTTCCCACATCTCAGCACTCCTGCAGCAGAACTTTGAGGACTAGAAAAAATGATCAGACTGACCTCCCACCCCCTTTTAGGGTAGTGTAGGTTTGCTTTTTTCTTCTAATAAGAAGAGACGGGACATGAGAAAGAATTCAAAACCTGAAGTTATTTTCCCTTAGTTGCATACTTACAAATGGCGAAGTTCTTTTTGATTATTAGTTTTATTACTTTATTTTTTTCTTCCAACCAAAACAAACGTGGCCTGAAGCTAAACACCTGAAATGTGGTGTTCCAGCACAACGGGTTAAAGCTTAGTAGAGCTGCATGCAAGTGAAAACAAGGCTCAGAATAAAGGTGCCCGATGATCTCTGACTGAAATACTCGTGGCGGCCCAGCTTCTTGCTTGCAGAGGAACTTACCAGCATTACTGTCCCAGCTGGCTCTCTATGTACACCTTGAAATTAGGAAGCTGACTAAGCTCCTCACAAACTGGTCTAGTCAGTCCCAGTCACCCCCATCCTAAACCAGTGAAAGTTGACAGCTTGACATCCTCTCGAAAGGTGAAACGAAGTCTTGAACCACAGTGTGGAACTGCCAGCAAACAGTACAGATACCTTTTTCCTCTTGTCCAGTTGTTGTCCTAGCCCCTCATCCCAGAACTCAAGAGAGATGTCCAGCACATTTTTGGACTTGCTGACTTGAAGTCCATTGGACAAACTCCATTTCTGGTTGTTCACAAGTCAAAAAATGTTTGCTTGGAAAACAAAGCAGAAAAAAGCTGCACTGCTCTCACAATCACTCCATCCCAAGAGCCACAGCTTTAGCACTTCCAGTTTCCCATCTCATTAAGTGTCTTGCAATACTTGTTTTTGTAATCATTTTCCATGCTGTCTACACAAAAAGCTATCTCGGAAGCCAGAAATACTACATTCCTTACACATGGACCCTTTCCAGACTTATCCCAATACTTTCTGTGCTTAAGGTCCTATACATTTAAGAACACGAATCACTACAGGCCCAGCAGTTAATTCACTTTCAAGTTGCCCTAATTATGAGGCTAAACATTGTTTAAACTTCTCTGTCCCTGATGTTCCCTAACTTCCCATGGAAGTTAGGCTGCCTCCCAAATGTTCTCAGTTCACTGTTGCAACAATGGCACTCCAGCATCCTGACTTGCCCTCTGATAAGCCACTGAGCCAGTTCGCATTTCCGCGCACACAGAGGGCAATTTGCATTAACTACTACATACACAGCATCTTTCTTTCCAAGAACTCCTGAGTGAGAAGCCACTTGTTTTCCAGCTTTTCCTTTTCAACTCTTTCAGGACAGGAACACCTCCTCCCGCTCTTTCCTCATCATCTGCATTCTGAAAGGTTACAGCCCACGGACCCCATGGCAGATGCCAAGGCCTTTGGTGTCAATGAGTGGCCATTAGCTACAACATAAAGGCTCAGACGAGGTACAAAGTGTAAAGTTTTTGGAAGAACGTTTAAAATCCAAATGCAATTTTTTTGCCCGTCTTCTTGAATGTCAGGCAATAGAAATGCCAATAAAAGATGTCACAGCAAGAGAAGCCATCAGCCAGCTGTCCATGGTCTGATGACAAGTCCTTGGCTGGAGGGGATGGAGACCCAACCACCACTGGTGGGACACACGGGGCTTCTAAACTCCTGCTACCCTCAGTCTCACCACAAGACCTTGTCCTGATGACCGGGCCTCACGTTCAGCTCACTGTGGCCCTTGCACCTCTTTGACACAATGAATGGATCATCACTGAGCATCACTGGTGGCAGCCTGAATCCCCATGGATGGCGTATGCAACTTCTCCTCCAGCTGTAGCACTACCATTCTGGGGCTCAGCGGCGCAAACTCAGGAGTTACAAATAAAAGCAAAGAGGTGGTCACTTCCCGAGGTCAAAGCGTACCTGCAAATGCAGGTTCACAATGCAATGCACAAATATTTATTTTCTCTGTGTACTTTCACATCCCCTGTGTCTTGGAGAGCTTTGGTGTTGCTTTTTTTTGTTTGTTTTGTTTTTTTTCTTTTTTTTTCCGAAAGGAAGAAAAAGAAAGAACAAAAATCCCCAGTTCTTCCAGTTTTTGTACAGGGAACAAATCCTCCAGTACTCCCTTTGTGTGCTCAGGCCCCTGAAAGCTGCCAGAAACAGTCAAAGGATGGGGGATGAAAGAAGTTTTCTGCGATTAATCCCGCTTTCAAGAGGCTTTAGAAGTAACTATGATCAAACACATGCAATGCATTGCTCAAATCAATATGAAAACTCAGAATGGAAACTATTTCAGAAATCACTACAGCTTTAAGTTTCCTATTTATTTACATTTTTGACAGTAAAGGATGAATGGGCTCCCAATCAAATGGCTTTTCAAACCCAAGATACAATCTCACACAAACTGGTATCTGTACATCTTTCTTGTACATTTGTATCATAGACTCAATGGTACAAACATGAGGAAGCATACCTACAAGGTTCATAGTCATACCTCTGCATCAAGATCTTTACTAAACAACCCGACCAAAGGATGCCTACTTTTAGCACACACGGTTCCACATCAACTCATTTGCAACCTGTAGTACAGCTGTCATTTAGCTCTGGAGACAAAAGGAGACACGCTTCTCCCCCAGTCTGATGTAGTAAATCCACGGCAGTCAACACAAAACCCACAGAGACACAAGAATCAGGCCTTTGGGATGATATGCTTCTGACTCCTGCATGGTTAAGTCTGATGAGTTTGCTGAAGCACAGCTTTTAGCCAAGTGCTTTTTCATACTAACTCATCCACAGAGCAGAGACGATTAATCACTGTTCATTACTCACCTTCTGGCAACACCCACTCTAAGCTAGGCACCGTCCAGACACATCAGGAAGACGGTCCTCATCTGAAGGATCTGTCATAAAAGGGAGCCATTTCTGAGACCCGATCCCAACAGCTACCAGGATCCACCAGAACAAAGCTGCTCACAGGATACCTTAAACATGAACACAATTCTTTCAAGAAGTGACAAGATCCGTAGTAAATGCACCAGCTGTACCTACTTTTCACTGCCTGCCAACCCCCACACGAATTGCAGTACAAATAATTCTTAGGAAAGGATGTTGCTGAAGAAATGTGGAGAATCTTCACAGACTATCACAGCACCCAAATGATCAGAGCCCATCACTTGGTTACAGTACATAGGAAAGTCGTTATTCTCTTCTGCAGCATTAGTAACTTCTCAAACAAAGAAGCCTGATTGAGGCAGACAGTGAGGGGCTTATCAGCTTAGGAAATGGGAAGGATGGTCCAATTAACTGCCAAGCAGTCAGACATAATTCATTCTGACGAGGCCAATGGGAGACGAGTCAGAGAAATGCATGTCCTGTCCATTTACGTAACACCTAAACATTCCCCCACCGCAAACTCTTCTCTTCTGCAAGCTAAATAAGGAGCAGGCCGCCAGGGGAAAACCCCCCTGCAGCTAACTGGCACTCTCTCTGACCAAGAAACCATCTCAGAGGTACGAAAGGCATCGCCATGCACTAAGCTGTTGGAGCCAGGAGCTAAGAGCTGCCACCAGGCAGGGACAGAAGGCTCCACACAAGGTTACCTCACCACCGCACTGTCACCTCACAGTCCAGGGAATGGGGAAAGAAGTAGAAAGCACAAAAAGGCAAACAAAACCTACCCCAGTCTAGGTTGACAGGCTTCATCTCCTTTTCCCAAACCACTTTCAGAAAGAGTCAGAACAACGCTAAAGCCATTTCACAATATTTAAAAGAAAAAAAAAAGAAAAAAGCTGAAGGCAATCCATATGTTACAGCTGATGAAGAAAGCTGTGAATCCAGCCTGAGTGCTGCTTCTCACATTCTCTGCTGCACTGAGTACACTGCTGGCACCAGGTGAGCAAAAGGAAGGCACAGAGAAAGAGGAAGGGGAGAAATTCTATGAAAGATGACAAAATGAAAAGAGAAAGCTTGCAATGGATCATACCTTAAGCATCACCTAGGAAGCAACAGGTATCTGAAACAGAGAGGGAGAAAAGGAAAACACCTCAAAAAGAGTCCCTAAGCTATTGATTCATAAACATGAGCCTTGTATGACATTTATAGGAAGAGAAGCATCTTTACTCTGCAACAGCAGCACATGCACAGGACTCAGCCCATCCTCTGATAACTTGTCTGTAACCCCCCTCATTTCTCAAAGTGCCAGATCTCGGGCTGTCGCGATCCCAAACACGTGCTTTATGTGCTATGGACAGGATGATTTAAAAAGAAAAGTCACTGGCGGGATATATTTACATTACATATGGTGACATCCTATTTGCCAGCTGGTTACCAGGAGCTAAGGAATTCATGCAGTACCAGTGAAGTCTCCTTGCAGCAGGGTGTTATAGCGAGCACACACCAGGCTATATATGGTATGTTTACTGAAGGATTAGGCATAAACATGTTACAGAAGGACCGATGTTGTGCACCGGACACCGAGCTTGCTGCTTGGAAAGCAGTCTGTCACATACCCCTTGTGCTCCTGGCCACGGGTGCCAGTGAAACCTCTAGAAAACAGGAACAGGTTATGCTGTGAGTAATGATTAACTGCAGGGAGTATCAGCCCAGCCAGCTCCACCCGCCTGCATTTCCCATCTCCTCTCTGCCTCCTCCGGTACTTCAGGGACCGGCTATCCACAAGGCAGCCAGGCAGAGGGCATGACGTGCAGCCAGGCGCATGCTGTGCTGTGCAGAGGGGATGATGGGCACAGACAAGTGCACCCATTCCTTCTTCACAAACAGCTGGCAGAGGGAGAGCCAACGCTGCAGCTCCCCGCCTGCCGGCAATGCGGCCCAGCCCGCACAGGCCTATTTCATAACAGGGGGGAGAAAAATCCTGAAAGGGCAGAGGGAGGAGGGTGGACTAAAGATGCCTTACAGCACAGCACAAGGTTCGTATCTGGCTTCAGAGTCCTGCCTAACCTGTTCTATGGTATGTTCTGTTTAACTCTCGTTTTGTTGGCTTGCTTTTCTGTTGGCAGCTGGAGCCAAGCTGCAGCCCCTTCTCTGCTCTGACACCTTTCACCCTCTGTCACGCTCCAGCACGAACACTGGCCCATGAGAAGGGGATGCCAGAAAATGAAACGTTGAGCCCAACACAGGCTGATCCTGGACACGTGGCATCTTTATGACAGGGAACAGGAGCAACCTGACCAACTCAGCGACACTGCCAGCCCTCCGGTGCCAGCCCATCGCCTTCATCGCTGCTCCTCTAGCACCTCAGAAATAAAAACCATGCAAACAATAAGCAAAGCAGAGAAAACCCCAAGCTACACACTCAGAAGATTGCACGCCCTGAAAATCTAACCAGAGCTGGTGCAGGGGCAGTAGCACTGGGACACGTTCTCATCACTACAGCAGATTTATGTCTTCATTGTGTGCAGTAACCACAGGGTTAATGGACAGCCCAAAGATCAGCCATATACCTGCTAGGCAACACAGGCATCAACTCAAAAGCTCTGTGGGGGGGGGTTTGACATGGGCTGAACAGTTTGTGACTGATGGCAAAAACGTGGGTTTGCTCAGTAGCCATTTTAAAGAACAGATGCAATCATCACAGTAACACAGTAATAAAAGAACCGGGGGCAAAAACATGGGGCAGAAACATGGACCCCTAAAAGCTCAGCAACACACTCACGGCTTGATTGCAGCAGCAGCATGCGTGAAATGCACTGAAAGAAACCAACAAAGAAGAGAAATGATTAAACGACCTTCAGAGCACAGCAAATCCCTCAGAGCAATGAGTGCTGGGCACAAGAAATGTCCTGATTTCCAGTCAGTTGTTTCATATGTTTTCCAGGGAGCTCTCATGCTGTGGGAAAGATTTCTGTGTGCATTGAAAGTAAGCCTGCAACATCCCCTTCCACTCCCACAGCAAGTATGCAATCCATAAAAGATTAAAGTGCTGCAGACATATGCTTCAGCTAAGACTCTTCTTTTTTCTTCTTTTAATCATATCAACAGTTTAGCACTTGCTGCATTTTATCAATCTATTCTGCCATCCCTTTTTAAGGCAGTAAGAGGCAAGGGGGAGAGACGGAGTGCAAGTGCGTGAGCCACAGGCAGCCTGTAACTCAAACACAGCTTTACAGATGTATTTACTACACAACTTGTCTTTGGGGGCTTTTCAGGCCTGGGCAGCCTTTGTCTCTGCACACTATGCACTAACAAATGAGCAATCACCCAGAGAGCAGACCGGCATCTTTCCATGGGGTCCACCAGGAAGCTGAGACATGGAGATGTGCCTGAGAAATTCCCCACTGGTTACTAGAAATCCATTGGGTCCTGAAGCCTGCTGCAGTTCTTAACTGTGCTGCAGTCACATGAAAGAGAACAAGTTTCCTCCTCCCACCCGCATCCCGTGGGTAACGTTGCGTGGGCAGTGAATATACAGAGAAACGCAGTAAGGGTGGGCTGTAAAGTTGTACGTATTTCTCTTTGGTGGGGGGATTATTATGTTTCAGTCAAACCTGCCCAATACTCAGAATGGGTATCCAAAAGAGGGTGAGCTGGGGAATCCTCATCTTCTGCACCATCACCTTCTTACAAGTGAGCGCTGCTAATTTACCCTGCTTATTAAATACAGTGGAGGAGCACGGAAAGGATTTCTACATAGTACAAGCTCTGAGGTGGTGTGGCTGCTTTTGAGGTGTTCTTATTCGTTGGAGGCACTCAGCAGGTAAGTAAGCAGAGAGATGAGAAGAGGGCACTGTGCTTCTGAGGAGAAATGCCAGGCATTGTGACAATGGCAGCAAGCAGAAAGTGTGGACTGAGCAGTGATTTAGCTGCTGGGGCCAGGGCTTCACACAGCCTCCCTTGTGGCTGTGACGGAGCACTGTGCCACGCAGCCCCTCCTTCTGCCCCAGGCACAGTACAGCTAAGGGCTGCAGGCCTGTGCCGTGGCCAAACTACACTGACCTTAGGCAGGGAGTAACTGGGGAGAGCAGCAAAGAGAAGCAGCAGGTTTCACATCGGATGCCATTTCCTAGACATAAGTGAAGCACACAGCATCTTCAATTCGCTACATCTATTCGGTCACCAGCGAAATAAGAAGCATGTAGGAGAGGAAACAGAGCGGTTCAATGAAACAGAGTAAACATAAATAAGCACAGACATGTTCAATGTGCTAAATGCATTTCCACTGAAGTTATAACTGAGTGCCCCTGATAACACAACTACATCTGTAACATTACACTCTGCATCCACTTCATAAAACATTTAAAAACTTGTTTTTGCTTTGGTTCGCCTACACAAAATAAGGAAGAAATATCACTCATCAGGAACTCCCTAAGAAAAATAAGCCTTCGAGTGGCAACGTACACTCACTGAGCAGCACTTCTTTCTGCAAAACTACTGTTCTTTATACTTTTTGCATTTGAAAGCTGCAAGTCTCACACGCGCACACACAAAAGACAGACAGACTGCTGCTGTGGACAAAATGGTGCCATTTAATACAAAAATCTGGTTTATGCACAGACTGGCTGTAGTGCATGCTGGTCCAAAGCAGAGTGGGATGCAGCCAGTTATATCAAACAGTTGTGCCCTCAGCAACAAACGATGCATTCATAAAGCTGGGAAAGCCTCTGTCTAGGGGCTCTAAGCTCTGCAAAGGAAACAATCAGTTGCTGACATTTTCTGAGGGAGGGGATGGTGAAAAGAGGTTGAGGGGGAGAAGTATGATCTACAGGAAAGTTATGTGCAGAAGAAGAATGAAAATACAAGGAATAAGACAAACTGCCACTGAGCTACCTTTGTACCCTGACTGCATTAACTAGCACAAATGAGCAACGCCACCTGAAAAAGACATGCACTTGGAAAACACTTGGCCAGTCAAGAGTGCAAAAGAAAAGGAAGAAGAGAAACGCCACCCTTCTTGTAGAACACTGGCCCATGAAGACACGACAGACATCATGCAGGCTGCAGCACACAAAGCCGCATCTGAGAGCTTCACACAAGTCTCTTACCCTCGCCTTTATTAGCTATGCCACCTCCACACTGGTAACGAAAAGCCAACATCTGGTGCTAGCTAAATGTCAGCACAGACAATCCCTTTAATAAAAATTTAAAGAGTCTGCATCCCAACAAGGAAGTCGCTAGTGCTTTCAATGTACGACCCTCCACCAGAGCTTGAAGGCTGAAGCAACCTAGGCTCTTTGTCTGAGGAACTTTGCTGGGCCCCCTGCTACCTCATCATGGGGATGCTGGCCCTGTGTGGCCAATCAGGAGGATTTACATGGTCAACAACCACACCTGGGTGTCTACCAACAAGCCACAGGATGGAGAAATCCCACCAGAGTGCCAGCCCTGACCAGGCTCCTACAGGAACAGCAGGTCATACACCTTATGCTTCCCACTTCACAGTGCTCCTGGCCTCAGGGCTGCCAGATGCAGGCTGTAGGTGTACTCCTAAAGTCCCAGAATGTTCCCTGTGTGCAGACAGTATCTGTGGGTGCCCAGGTCCTGCTGCAGAATGGGGCCATGCCGTACTGTCTGCCCTCATCCCAGGAAGTGGGTACCAGGCCTCCCCAAACTGCAGCGCTGTCAAATCCTGCTTAGACCTCAGATACGTGAGACACTCACAGAAGTGAACATGAAAGTTCAGCATGTTAATAAAAGTACAGCATGTTAATAAATACATACAACCTCCTCTGTTCTACTGAGACTGGCCATTAAAAACCAACCCCAAAATCACAGATTGTACCTGAAGTTCAGTGGCAAGGCCAGTGAGAGTTTCTCTAAGAGGAGAAATGAGCCTGTCTGCACACTGATCAAAAATGAGAAATGTCTCACCAATCACTCTTGGCTGCCCCAAGGCTACAGCAAGGCATGCACTGTGTTTCCTGCAAGCATTTGCACAGCACAGAGGTCTCTCATATCTTAAAGGAAGACAAAAGCTTTGTAGTGAGTTGAGCCTGCACACGGTGGTTGTGGAGTAAAGAGATGTCTTCCCCAGATGGGAAAGATCCAGTTAAAGGACAGATGACAGAAAGTTTGGGTAAGGGTTGACAGAGTGAGCCCCTATCAAAGGACTTTCTACACCAAAGATTCAAGAGAATGCACCGAAGATTCTGTAGGGGTATCTAGAAAGGGATGTGTAATTCTTCCTGCCCACAGTGTACCTGACCGTTTGTTCAGATCCCTTCATGAACAGGACTGTGGCACTGCCAGTATACATGTTTTTCCACAGGACTTTTTTTTTTCTTTTCTAAAAACAGGATGAGTGGTTCATCAAGAGCAAGCCCTTCCTGTGCCTCTGTGATACGAGCAGAGAAAACCTGTGAGTCTGTTGGAAATGAGGAACAAAAGCCGGGAGCACACCCAGCCAGTTAGAACAGGGAAAAATGAGCAGGCTTTCTACTGGTATCAAGGTACCAGAGATGAATGGTAATGCTTTGGTTTACCAACTGAGAATTGTAAATAATTGCTATTGCAATAAACACTGCACTGTATTTGCATAAATAATCTCAATAAAACTTCATGAAAAACCACTTCATTAGTGCTTGTTATCAGTTGAGGACTAACAGTAGCTACACAACTGCTAATGCCTTTGCAGAGGCATTAAAACAATCTAAAAACCGTCTTTCCTGCTTTACTCCTTGGAAAGTTTCCAGACAAGGCAAAAGTTTACACACATGTTCCCATTAAACTTGCCCTTAGTACTAAATCAATATACTTTAGAATTCAAATTCATAGAATCATGAAGGTTGGAGAAGTTCACTACGCTCATCTAGTCCAACCGCCCCCCCCATGCCCACTAACCACGTCCCTCAATGCCACATCCACGTTTCTTGGACACCTCTAGTGACAGTGACTCAACCACCTCTCTGTGCAGCCTGTGCCACTGCCTCACCACTCTTTCTTTTTCCTGGTATCCAACCTGAACCTCCCCTGGCATAACTTACAGCCATTACCTCCATCCTATCGCTGTGACCTAGGAACAGAAGCTGACCTCCACCTCACTACAATCACCTTTCAGGGAGCTGCAGACAGTGATAGTGCCTCACCTGAACTTCCTCTTCTCCAGACTGAACACTGCCAGCTCAGCTGCTCCCCATAAGCCTTGTGCTCCAGACCCCTCATAGCTTCACTGCCCTTCTCCGGACACACGCCAGGGCCTCAATGTCTTTCTTGTAGTGGGAGGCCCAAAATCGAACACAGTACTTGAAATGCTGATTACAGGGGGACGATCACCTTGCACATACGATTCAGTTTCTCTTCACAGACTTGCACAAAAGCTGCTAATACCAC